TAATAGTTCTTTATTAATCTTATGAAATATCTGTTTAATTTCTTTATTTCCTATTTTCAATATAGATTTTTCTTCAGTTTTGTTTGCAGGTATTGGTTTTGAACATTCATAAGGAAATGGTTGTTCTGGATGCCAACAAACCATCATATCATCCATAAAAACAACCAATTCAGATGGTAATGTGGTGTAAGAAGAATACATGAAACTATGTTGTTTAAAAAGTGTTTTGAAAAATCTTAGACAATGATTCATCTGTAAATAAAAATACACAATTTTAAATTAAAATGTATTACATAGAAATAAAATACAAAAATCAATACACAAATTTTTTATTAAAGGTTATAATATGAATTTTTTTTTTAAATATTAATATTACTTACAATAATAAATAACATAATATTACAGTATATACTTACTATATTCGTAATTTGTAATCTAATTTAAAATAAAATATAAATTAGAAATATAAAATATTAGATGTGCTAATTGCCTTCACTTCACACCTCTCATCACTCCTCCAGGTATAAATTTTAACTATACTATTCAAACGCAATTTATATAATTTTATTAGATCTGTTGATTGCGCGTAAATTCTTAAATTAACTTACAAAAAAACTTATTAAAATAATATAGAAGATAGATATAATGATCCAAATGATGATACGAAACATTAATTCCCAACATATGCAATTACAACAAATTTTTTTAGATATTTAAGATAAATGGTAATTTAAATTTTTTTTATATATCCTTTAAAAATATAAAATTTTAATATATATACAAATAATATGGTACACAGTAATTCTAAAATAATTTATATTACAATTGTATTATCATAAATCAAAACCTAACCTTAAAATAGGTATGGTAACAAATGATTTTTTTAATTTTAATAATCTATAAATCTATAATTGATTTAATTAAAATTTAATATTCTTATTCGCGTATAATAAATTACGTTTATTAAAGAATATAAAATATTTTATTTGATTTATAAATATTTTTAAGAGAATATTATTTTCTTACATTTATTGAATAAAATTAATTTGATTTATATTATTTATTAAAATAATTTCTTAAATTTCTTTAATACGAAAATACATGTAAAATAATATATCTGAAATGTTAAAATAACCTCTAAAGAATTAATTTTTTATTTATGTATTGTATTTAACAATTAGTCAGGTGAAATAAAATATATCACATATTTATCCTTTTATTTTTTTTTATTAACTTTAATTTTTACAAATTAGTGTTTTTTGAGATCCACATGTTCCATCTTCAACATATCTAAAACAAATATTTCTTTTATAGTGTATACTTACCATTTGAAAATCTAGAAGCTCTTTATTAATTACTGTGAATTGACACTTCAGCTACAAATAGTGTCACTGAAAAGGTCACTTTTACAGTCATCCCTAATAATGTATTTAACATCCAGTCATTATATAAAAATAGTTCTGTATCAAGTAAAATAATAAAACAGTGTAGTTTTCGATTATTGTTTCCTGAAAATATTAGATATATTTAAAATAAATTTATTACAGCTAACTTGGGACACTGGTTAAAACAAGAAACACAACCACAGAATCCACCAAAAGTTTTAAATTCATCTAAAAATGATAAATTAAAAAATATTTAACTAGCCACAGGCACTAACAAAATGCAAATGAATTATAATCTTAGCAACTAATAAAACTATTAATTCACAACACCTTTACACACTCAACTGAATTAAACAAACTGAAAAACTTTCCCAACAAGAAAAACTCTAAAAATCCTAATTAATATATATTTTTTCCAAGCAACTTGTTTCTGATTTAGATCCCATTTGGAACCTTAAAATTAACTAAACTTTAAACTTTTTCAGGTGATAAATGTTAAGAAAAAAAAAAAGAACACATTGGGTAATTTTTGTCTGCATAACGGTATCTATTTTTTTTAGATCACCAGATACACTTATAACCACTGCACCTTTATTGGCAACTGAGTATGATTATGGCAAAAACCTCCATCCATCTCAAATACGTGTTTACAAGAATTAGGTAATTAAGATTCATAAGTTGCTACATACTCAGGAGCAAGGACACATCACTTTTTTACATCACTGTACACAATTTTCAAAAATTTACGAATTTACTTTATTATTTTTATAATATTTAAATGACCACAAAGCACTGTCTTTTTAGTCTCATTTGCACTAAATCTTAAACTTTTTTTGCAAATTTCACATAAGTAAAATAATTTTCTTTTTTATTTAAAAAATCTTATCTAATTGTGATATGTGATTTTTTAATGAAAATTTGCTGCTTTTAAACTAATATCGCCTTTTGATCACTGTCTCACTTTTTTTTATACACAATGTAATTATCATTAAAAATGAGACAAGCAATATTACAATCACTGTAAACACTTTTACAATGTGTTGCACAACTAATTCGACATATTTTTCAGCAATAAAATAAAATGAAAACGCAAATGTATTATAAGTGCTTCTTACATTTTGTATTATGTGTCCAGATCTTTCACATAATCTTTAAATTTCATTTGCTCAATTTCTATTTGATTCGTCATTGTAATAAGTTTTTCACAGTTTATTAAATGACAATTTTTCATAATGAAGAATAAATAATATTTAATAAGATGATAAATTTTTGTTTTCCAAAAAATATATTTGACTTTATTCCCACTGTAATAAGAAAAAACATATTTATAAAGATAATATAGGTATTAATCATCAGAAGTAAAATAATAATAACTTGTTTAGATTGAAATATCAGAAAAAATCAGTAAAAATTTTGATTTGATTATATCTCATTTATAATGAAAACATTCACTATCTTTTATAAAAGCACTATTAAAGAAAAATGTGAAAGAACCGTGTACAGATATAAAATTTTTTTTATAAAATAAATGTCATCTTATTCTACATTTTAGAATTACAGTAACACTGTAAATAATGACGTTAAAAATTATAACATGCTGACTATTCATTTTGAATTTCTCTTATTATATATGTATGACTAACTCTTAAAAATTTATAATTGCTGCATAGTTATATAAAAATTTATAATTGCTGCATAGTTATATAAAAATCAATCTTTCAAAAATTAACTATTTCATATAGTCAATAGATAATTAGCCAAAAGAAACATTATAAAAAATTGATTTTTAATAATAAACTATAACTATTCAAATAATAAATTGCGACTGATGACAATTCTAATATTTCTTAAAAAAAATAAGTATTAATTCTAAATAAGTAATGCTGTTATCATAGAAATTTATAAATTATAAGAATTATAGAGAATAAATTTTTTATTTTATCTTATCAATTAAACTTGAAATATTTGATTAACTAAAATATATAATAATTAATAAGACTATAAATTGTATGATTATAGTTATTTACCAAATATTTAAAAAGGTTTTTTCAATAGAAAATAATAAAATTAGAAGATACGCTAAAATTTATTTTATATATTTTTAATAGATTCATTCAATTTTCATATTTTATGTAATAAACATGAGAAATAAATAATCACTTTAATGTAAAATTATAAAACTGATGGTCAATCTTTAGTTTCAAAACAGCAATTATCGAGATTAATTAAAAATATTATTTAAGGAAAACTAAGTATTTAAAATCTTATAATATTATTTTATAAAATAATTAACTTCATATATTTTTATATTGATTTGATTGTATGATCATTTTTCTAATGATCTTTATTATGGGATATGAAAGAAAACAAAATATAAATAAAATTTAAAAAATAATAAAAGTAATTTCTATTTATTTCTATATTTTATAAATAACTAAAAATGCTTCTATACCATTGTATAATATTCAAATTACATAAAGTCAATATCTCATAAATTGAATATTTTTTTAAAAAGAATTTAATATAAATTTTTCTTGAATATTTCTACATAAAAGTGTCTATGCTCAACATAATAAGTTAATACTAAGAAAATTAATATTATTATTAGAAAATTGAATATCTCAATTAAAATTATAGTGTATGGGTAATAACGTTTTTAACTAGTAGTACGTTCTGCTTTTTAAATAATATTTGAAAGTATTTTCCATTTTATAAAAATCCATAACCTAAAGATTGAAATATATATTTGTACAATATTTATTATAAATGATAACAGCAGCACTCATTCTTATCGTTGAAACCTATTGTCACCAAAATTTATAAATAATGACTTGCAGAAGCAAGTATTTACATTATAAAGAAATAAATACAATTCATTTTACAATTACAATTTTATGCACTTATTCGTTAGTGCTTTAAATGAAATTTCTAAAAAATAAATAACACGCATTTTCTGATTGGTAAATTTGTTACTAATATTGCTGTTAAAAAAAACACCTGTTAAATAGTTTCATTTTATTTTTAAAAATCAAGATTCAAAAATATAATCAAATATTTAAATATTTAAAATTTAGTTTAAATATCAGTCATAAATCATAAAATATTATTAATAATTATATTGTATAAAACCTTGACTGATACTTTAAATTTTGTAATATAATTTTAACTTATGATCCTTGTTTGTATAAATAAATTGTATAAAATATTGTACTTTTATTTTTATTCAAATTAAACTTAAGACTATCTTTTTACAAATTCAAAAGTAACTTACTTTGGTAACTTATTATTTCAATATATATTCAATATATATAAATTAAAATGTAACTTAATTTTTAACAGGTGTTCTTTAATTGTTAATTTAGAGTGGATACATTAGTATTCAAAATATTAACATTAAAAGTGTGTCATCAATATCATCATTATAACTTTATCATTTATGCCATCAGCGTTATCATCTACACTGGGGATCCTTATTTCCGAAACATTAAATAAAATTTCTATGAAATTTTCAGTTATATTTTTCATAAAAACAAAATAATCAATTTTAACATTTTTAAAACTAAAATAATGAAAACATAATGTTTTTTACTTTAAATTATATATTAGTTTTTGGTATTTTCAAATTCAAAAGCATATGAACAATGTCTATTTTAAAGCAAAATATAAATTTTACTTTAGTCACCTTATTTATGTTGTGTTCCATAAACCTTTCATTCTACTTTAAATATTGTACAAGTGTGTAAAATGCTTGGAACATAAAAAACTTGAATGAAACTTAATTCGTTTCTAAAAAGTACTCTTCATGTTTGGCGTCTGGAAATTTTGGATCCCCTTAAATCACCTAATCTATAGTTCAGTTTATGCTTCGTACAAAAACACAATTTTAAGCACTACCACCCTTCACTACAACAATAACCAAATGGTCCTCTTTTAATCCTTCTTCACTTAAGTTTGGGCAAGTGCGTTTCAACAGATCTGTTGAGAAAGTGCAGGGTGGAAAAGCATATAGAACTCCAGTGCCTTCTGTATCCTTGTTTAACAATGAAATCACTCCAGCTGCTTCTTTCTGCTTAAGATATGATACTAAGTTTCTCAGTGGTCGCGTTTGCACATTTGCATCATCATTTGTAATTGCTCCACTGGAGCCAGCCAAGCCTAAGAATATTGCATGTGAACTGGAAGTTTGGATTCTCTTGGATACATCATCTAGCTTAGGTTGATCTAAACGTAATCTCTGAGTAATCCTAAGCATGTGCTTACCATCCTCATCTTTCATTAATGAATCTATAATATCAGTATCGCCATCTGTTAAATGGAATTTAGCCGGAAATAAAGAATTTTTTAAGATTAGAGCCCCCTGCCATACAGCAATGGATTTTCTTGCAACATCAGGTAAAGTTCTTGAACTACCAAGCATTCCCGGTCTTGTGTTTTCTGAATCTGAATCAGAATCCACAGGTCTTCTTCTGGGTGATCGAGACCTCGATCTATCTACTCCAGGTTCCCTTGAAAGTGACCTCCTAATACCTCTGGTAGCTTCATAATCAACTTCTGGTGGGGGTCTTCTACCACTGGGCCAATCGTTTTCCTCTCTTGGATAACTGCCTTCAGGATATGATCCTCGATAAGCACCTCTTCGACTTCCTCCACGACCTTCATGCCAAGAAGCTGAACCTCTACCCCTAAAGCTTCTAGAAGAGCTATAATTAAATTCTCCTTCAGCGCTGTATGGATCATAACCAGCTTCATAATCGGTTTGTCTAGTTCTAAATTCAGCACTATCTTCAGGATACGGTCTTGGTTTAAATCCAAATCCTGGGGTCACATCTGCAAAATCTACACGTAAACGTCTGTCTGGCCCGCCAAGAGGAAAGCCTCGCATCTCTTTAACAGCAGCTTGTGCAGCGTCTATCGAATCATAAAGAATATAAGCATTACTATCACCTTTTATATAATCAATTTTCTTGATGGCACCAAACCGATCAAATTCTCTTTCTAATTGAGCTACCGAAGTCCATGGTCCAAGACCACCCACCCAAATTCGTGTTGTAGGAGTAGCCTTACCGTACCCTATTTTACACTGAAATTTTCCAATGTATTGCCCTGATAGTTCAACTTTACAGCGATGGGCCATATCTAGGGTTTGAAAGCGCACGAAAGCATAGGCATTTCCAGTGCCTGGAGGAGGTCTTTTAATATCAATATCATCCACGATTCCATATTTACTAAAAATTCGTCGTAGTTCTTCTTCAGTTATGTTAATTTCTAAATTTCCAGCAAAAAGAGTTCGAGTTGCTAAAGGGTCATCTTCTGGAGATACGTGATGTAAGTAGTTTGGAAATTTGTCCTTTTTATTTTCAACTCGTTCAAAACCATGCACCGGATGGCGTACCATCATGTGTCTGGGTGGACCATAATGGTGAGGAGGGCCTGGATGAACATGTGGTGGTCCGTGATGTAAAGGTGGTCTCACAAAATCGTGATGGGGAGGGGGTAAGGCATCTCTTCGTAGTTCTCGAGGTGGTATTCCCACAGGTGGTCCATAAACTCTGTCATATCTTTCAATAGGTCTGTGTCTGTCAGTCGGTCCAGGAGACCTTGCATAGTAACGGTCATAATCAGGTGGAGTTATAGAACGTGGACGTCTATAAGGTTCAGGCCTTTCATACACAGACTCAACTAAAGCTAGCTTATCGTATATAGGAATTCTGGGTTTAGCATACTTTGCATCTCTAGCATCTTCATGACTACGAAAACATACATACGCCACTCTTTCATCAAGTTCATGTGCTATTTTTATAGAGAAGTCACCGAACTTCTTATATTCTCTGTAGATAGTTTCCTTCACAGCTTCATCGCTCGCTTTCGGATGGATACCACTAACACATAATACTTTATAGCTGTAAGGACGTTCTGTGGGTATTTCCCTAGGTGGACGAGAATATTCATCTCGGTGAGAACCAGATTCTATGTAGCGAGAACGTGGTGGTGGTGAAGGGCTTCTGGCACCTCGACTGCGCCGCCGAATTCGTTCCGGAGTTATACGCTCATCACTCGAGTCTTCGTATCTGAAGATGTAGAATAACCTCTCAGTATATTGCTTGTTTAATTGAAAGGTATAAATACAGAATTGGTGAAACTAGAATCCTCAAATATTACTTTAAATTACATTACTTACAGTTAATGTATTTGTTACTTCTTGTAAAAGGACATATAAGCCCATTTAAGATATTATAATTTATTGAACTATTCTATAACAATTGCAACAACAAAATTTTTCAGTAAAACATTAATTGTAAAACAGTTTTAAAAAAAGCACATCCAATAATATCAGTCCACTGCATCTTGAAGTTAAAAAATACAAGTATTTTATGAATAATTTGGAACTCATTAATATCTATTGTATCTGATCGAATATGTATTTTATTTTATTTTGATATTAATATTTATTAATTAAATTATTCAATTGACACGTTTTTACATTTCCATAAAAGTACAGTAGATTAAATTTCATAAATACAAAACTGTAATTGTCTTTATTAACAATTGTTGAAAATCCATCTACAACAACTGATATTAAACAAATATATATTTTAGGGCTACTTACAGTAAGAATGAAATTAATATTACTGTTCATGCTAAAATAAAATTGAAGACAATTAGTAAAAATTTATAATTCATTAGAAATTTTATAAAGCTAACTTAATATATTAAATAATATAAAATGCACCTGTTTGGAGAAGATAAATTATAAAAACATTGAGAAATTAATAAACTGTTTTATATTAATCAATTACTTCTAATACATTATTCAAACTATTGTATATTTAAGACAATACCATTACCATTTTTTAAATACTACTGAATATAAATTATTTCAATATTTTCTAAAGCCTTTTTAATTTGAATGAAAATTATGAATCCACATACTACAGCAGTTGTTTCTTAATAAGAAATAGAAAGAAAATTAAATAAAATAAAAAAAGAGCATTAATTATCTAATTCTATTATACATTACTCACATGTGCAACATTAATTCATAATAATATTTATAAATACGAGTTAATAATAAATTATTTAGTTAATTCTTTTAAATTTATTTCACTTTACCAATAGATAAAAATTATTAATTGAACGAAATTCCTTGATAAGTAAAATAAAGCTTTTATATATTACAACTTTTAATACTTAGTACAATACAATATATTTATATCAGATTATTCTAATATGAAAAACATCTTTTTCTAAATTTCAAATTGAAGTCAAATTGCAACTGAAACTTTTTTGAAAAAATATAATCAATGATAATTTTAAACTAAAAAACGATTGATTAGGAAAAAATAAATTAAATTAAAATAGTTTTCATAATAGTGAATAAGAATTCTGTTAAAATACCATTACCTAGTTTCACTTTATTGTTTGAAAACAAAGATTAATTTACTAGACCAATCAATCGAAAATACAAAATATTAAAATAAATCTTCAAAAGTATCATTAATTGAATTGGTTACTATATATTTTCTATTATATAATAAATATTATTTTATAAGGAAAAAAAAAATTTTTTAATCAAAAGTTATATAAAATTGTGATGTAGCAAATTATTGAACCTATATTTGTATGAAATTTAGAAATGTTTGGATACATTATAATTATAATTAGAAAATACAAAATATAGGGGATTGAAGAAAGTAATAAATAATTATTTATAATTTTGTTTAAATATGTTAAAAGTTACATTAACTATTACTAATACATTAACTGTTTTTTTATCCTAGTTTAAAACATAATTATAAATTTAAACACTGAGTTTTTAGAATTTACTTTGAGCTTATTTTAAATTATTTTAAAATATTTACTTATTCAAAAAAAAATTAAATTAAATTTTAGTCTAAATAGTTTAAACATAATATAAAAAATATATTATTTAGATTAATAAAAAATGTAATAAAAATTAATATATTATTATATATATAATATTAACATTTTTTCTTTTACAAATATTTTATAATTAATTTATTAAAATTGTCAATTTTATTTTAATATGTTTATATATATATATATATATCGTGTATATTTTAAAGTATATTAAATATGTATATCTATCAAGTTTTATGTGAATATATGTGAAAAAAATGTATATTGCTCAATAATTATTTTAATTTTATAATCATGGAAACTACAATTTTTATGTAACATTTTAATTTATTTTGTAGAAATATAAATTGAAAAATCAAATTAATTAAAATTTATGAAAATTTATTAATCACCCTATTTATATGTATATAAAAAAAAAAAAATAATAATGATTTGATACATACTTTATAGAAAATTATTTATTTTTTAAACACAAGTTTTTTAGTTATATTTTATTAAATCGTGTACCAGCTTCAATACTTTATTCAATTGGAATAATTAATTTTGATATAAAAAAGCAAAACTTTCACTTTAGGACAAAGCTTTTGATTGTATATTTTTCTTCCTCAACACTATATTTTTTGTATGCACAAACTTCCTTTAATCACAAAGCTGAATCACTTGAGCCTCACTAAAATTTTAAAACAAAAACAAATAGCATTAATATTAATCAAATCGACACTTAATACACAATATATTTCGAACCAATACATTTCTTTTACAGTGCACATTTTAATCACTTAACATAATTTTAAAAACTCACAATATAATTAAACAATAAACACATCCTTAAACAAGAAGCCACTAGAACTATTGTTTATGCTAAATTCTCGAAAATTCCGCTGGCTTGTTGAGACCAATAAATGTGTATAAAGAAATAGAAAAACACAGACGCGCCACACAGAGGAGAAAAGAGGAAGGGGGCATCTTTCAAAACGGAGTAAAATGGTTGCAAAAACTTGCTTCAAAACAACGCGCACAACATGCACATACGAATGCCCAGAAGATGACGCTTACATCCATTAACACTTAGGTCGAAGCCAGCGAAATATGCGAGAGGAAAAATTAAATGGTAAGTCGTTTCTCAATAAAGCCGAAGAATCTGTTCACCAAAAATACTAATACAATTTGTGTATTAAAATATTGTAGAGCGAGCGCCCCACAGCACATACACAACACTCACCGTCCGATCGATGATCTGCCTCGCTTGACGCGCGGAGGCGGCGAGTCCCGACTCGAGCTACGCTTCATGTTGTTTCGGATCTTCACCGTGATTTTGTGTCTATCGTCCCTTGGAATCCCAATCATCAACGCTATTCTTTGGCCACCGTGATGTACGACAGGTTGACACTGACGATGATGCTACACACCACCACTGCTACCGCTGCTGTTTTTACGTGCTATCGAGGTCGCAAGATTAAAGAGCCAGATTAACACTAGCAAAATAGAAAAACGTTACGTTTAAAAATTAAAAATTTTCCAAACTGTAAATCTTTACAGTATTATTAAAACGATAATAACGGTACGGTATTGGGAGAGGGAAGAGAAAATGTGTGGTTGCCGTAAAGATGCGAAAAGTCCGTTTGCTTCTTTATGCGTACAGCCACTCTATATTTGCCACTGGCAAATATGGCGAAGCGTACCCGCCGTTCCTATCTTTTCCGGTTTTCCCTCCCCCGTTTTCAACGTTGCCAACTCAATGTCCACTATTCTCAAGGCCTACAACTTATTAGAATTTGAAGATTCCAAACCTTCCATTCAAAACTATTTTTCAATATTTAATTATTATATATATTTATTTATAAAAAATAATTAAAAAAATAAACAATTTAATGGATTCTGTCGCTCTTTTATCAAGGAGACCAAAAATAAAATTTTCAATACAAATAATAACATGTATTTTTATTAGTAAAAGAAATTATAATTATAAATATACTAAATGCACCTAAAAATATTTTATCACTAATTATCGTAAATCCTTTAACCTGTCTTTACAAAAGCTCTTTAATTTTAAAAATAATTATTTCTCAAATATTTTCAAATGTGCTTTTAAAAAGACTGTAAATGAAAAAAATGTAATATATTTTTATATATTTCCTTTATAAATGTATTTACATAAACGACTTCAAAATTATTTTAATAAATCGTATTATTTATATATAAATGTCATTAAAAGAAAATATATTGAATTATGATGATGAAAGTTTTTAAGCAATGGAATATCGGCTTTGTTAAGCAACTAATGAATAGAGCTTGTTATTTTTTCCTCTTTTCATATAATTAATGTTATCAAACAGAAAAATCTTAATATAGATGAAAGCTGTAAATAAAAAATTCATAATTGTTTAAAGAAAACATTAATAGCTAACAATTAAATTCAATAATTTGATCACAAATTAAATTTCATTTATAAAATTGAATAAAATTTTAACTGTTCGTATTCTTTACTCAAAAAATTAAATATTATAAATAATTAATTATAATAATTTTAAATTCAACGAAATAAAAAATTTTTAAGTACTAAAATAGATTAAAAAATAATTATATATGAAACAAAGAAAGCATTGAGAAATAGGTTTCTGAAATTATAAGAAAATATATAAAACATAAACAAAAATCAAAGTAAGCACAAAAAATAAAATTCTGAGACAAATTCAAGACAAAAGAAGAAAAATAAAAATTAGCTATTACGTTTGATCAAATTTGGAATTCAAATCAACTTTAAAAGGCAAATGATTAGAATAATTATAGGGTACAAAATATAGATAATTATAAAAGCAAATGATGAAGTGCATACATAATTAAGAAAACTAAAATAAAATTAACAATTCAGAAAAATAATGCAGAAATAAAATGTTTACAATTATATGAAAGATTAAAATATTATTTTGCGTACAAGTGAGATAAACTTAAAATTAAAATTAAAAAATAAAGATATAAAAAAAAAAGATATAAAAATAAAAAAAAGATAAAATTAAAATCATAATAAGGAAATAAGACAAGTAAAAATCGCAATAACAACAAAAGAGTTTATACGATTAAAGAATCAAGGTATTCAAGAATATATAAAAAAGAAGAACCGAGAAATATCACTATTCATAGAAAATATATGGAATATAAAAAAATATAGAAAACATACAAGTTAAATGCAAAGTATATAAAAAAGAATATAATTGGTAAAGAAAGTTTAATTAAAAGAAAATTGAAGTAAAATGTGATAACGAGTAAAGGGTATTAAAGTAAGAACTAAAATAAAAATTTGAAACAAAGAACACATACATTAAACCAAAAGAAGTATAATAAAACATAAAGATAATGAAGAAAAGAAATAAAAAAAAATGAAAAACAGAATTAATTTTAGAAAGCTATCACATCTACTACAAAAAATCTAAAGTTTGCGTAGTCACCTAATCTTAATTAAAGCAAAACCTATTGCAGACATTTAAAGATGAACACTAGTAGATGCAAGTGTTAATATATTTTTTAAAATAATTTTATATAGTTTTTATTTAAATTATAACAACTGTTTCTAACGAGATATAATTTCACTTTCTGAAGATGTGAATCGTTGTGGCTCAATGAACAAGAATCATATGTCAGTGATAAAATTTGCTTAAATTGCATTGAAATTTTTATCCAAACATTTAGCTTTATCCCTTATTTTAAAAATTTTTTATTTCTTGTGTGCAAATTTATTATATTTATTAAATTTATTTCTGGCATAAATTCAACAATAAAATTAATTTAATTAATATTTGATATCGCTCCAAAATACAATTAAATTTCAATGTTAAAACTTTTTAAAACCCCAATTAATATATGTGTCTTTTACATATTGTTTTATAAGGTATTAAGAGGTTGTTATATTGTAAGATTCATTAAAATAATAGTTTGAATAAATATTTTATACAATAAAAACAATTTTATTATTTATATTAAAATATTTGATTTTATTTTATATTTTAAAAATAGAAGAAAAATATTACAATAAATGAATTATAGAAAATATAAGTATAAAAAAATAACTGAGTAAGAGAAAACATGAAAAAATGAAAAAGAAGAGGGAAATAAAGCAAATGAAAGTTGATGAAAGCTGAATGTCATAGTGAATATAAAGAGTATAAGAATTCAAATATAAGAAAAGAGAAAAATTATTTACATGATTTGATAGTCGTTTGAATATTCCTTAAATAAATTGATTAACGTGTGAATTCTTTGTATTAAAACATGAAATATATCATACAAATACAATGTTAATAATTTGCAGTATACATTGTATTTGTTTAAACTGGAATATTATGGCATTGTTCCTAAGTGAATTTAATAAATTTTTATAACAAATTTACTTTTTTAAATCATTTTATCATTTAAAGCACATTATTTTTTACTAGAGCATAACAAATATTTCAACATAAATTTAATTTCATGCCAATTGTTCTTCAATTAATTTTAATTATTTCTGTATTTAGTTCTATTAATTTTTAAAATATTTTTATTTAAGTCATTGTTAATTGAATAACTATATTCTGTATCTTGTAAAACATGATATAAATAGAATTGATTTTTATTTTAATATTAGATATAAACAATTAAATTCTTTAAAAATATGAAATTTTTAATATAAAATGATATTTTCAGTAAGAATTTAATTTTAGGGCGTCGTACGAATTTCCGTATTATTTTAATAAATGTGAATATTTAATATGATTGAATAAATTGTAAATTATTGATAAATACATTACATGGAGTACATTTGATCACTGGAGTTAAATAAAAAATTAATAGAAATGAAAATAAAATAGTTAAACATACACGAAGTATAAATCTTGTAAAGAAATTCAGCTATGTAACAAATTTGTTATATATTTAGAATAAGATATTAAAAATTTAATGCATGAACAATTAATTATTAAAAATTAACAAAATAACAAATAAATAAAATAAAATTATAGGTAAATTAATCCAAATTTCTAATACGAAAATTGAATTAAAACAGAGAAGAAAGAACTAATGAATGAGAAACAATAAAAAAAATATTCATTTTTGAATATATAATAATATTTAATTGATAATAAAATTTCAATTTAGCATATAAATATTTATAACTACTTTGATTAATTAAATGTTACAATAATATTTAATTTATCTAATATAATAATAAATGTTTAAATTTAATAAAACAAAAATAAATAGAAAACGGTTGTATAAAAATATAGCAATTAAAATTAATATCGCAAATGGCAACGTTGCAACCATCCCTTTGCGCCATCTGTGTAGCTTAACCTTATTTTCGGCAAATTAATTTTATTGAGACATGTTTCTAAATATAATTTTAGGATGAATTGATCATACAATCTATCTGATTGCACCATGTAATTATTACTTAAATCTGTGAATAGTGCTAGTACGTTATGATTTTTATAATTTACTTATTTTGAGAAAATTTAAAAAAAAACACGATTTATACTCCCGCATGACTTGAATGTCAACTTGCATTTCTATTGTACAGTGATCAGCTGTAGTTAAAATATGAAAAAATAATGTTTGGATTAATTGAATAATAAAAGTCTATTTAAGCTAAGATAGATTTGATAATTATTTTATCCTATTTTTATTATAAAATATAAAAAATTTAATGTATTTTATAATTTTTTTTTAACTGCAATTTTATAATCGAATTATTTTATTTCATAAAATGTATATTACTAGTGAATAAAAGACTAAAATTGTGTTCATATTAAGTAGAAATTATGTATGTAAACGTATTCCAAAAATCAAAACTTTTTGAAGGTTTTGCAGATATTTGATACAATAATAAACTCATCGTAGTTTCAATGCATTCTGGTTTTGATTATATAATAAATTCTAATAATTATGTATAGTTTTGAGGGAGATTATAGGCGTAAGCCTCAACAAAATTTAGCTGGTGCTAGTCGGAGAGATGAAAGAAATGCTCTCCTTCAACATGCACATTTAGAGCGATTAAAACGTGAACAACAGCGTAACAAACATAATGCTACTGTTAAAATTCAGGCCCATGTACGTAGTTTTATTGTAAGGCAATCAATTAGAAGACAAGAAAGATATGAATTTGATAAAATGCAACAAACAATTGGTGTAAATCAAATAAATATATTTGAATTAATACCTTTTATAAAGAAATTGTTCTTTTTTTATTCATACCAATATGATGGAAATAGATTTATTTGGTTACTTCAACATGTTCTTAAACTTCAAGAAGAAATTAAATTAAAGTTTGTTTCAAATTCAGAATGGTTATGGCGAATCAGGTAGAAATAATTTATCTTGTACTTATAATATAAACCAATTATTCAGTCTGTAAGATATTAAATAAATATTATTATTATTGATAATTTTGTATTATCAATAAGAAATTACCAAATTTTAGAATAGGATCTTGTACCAAAATTGTATAAAATCAACTAGATAAGACATAAAATTATTTGATTATGGTACACTATTATAAAATATTTCTTTAAATATTATTTAATACTTTTTATCTTATCAAAAAGGAAACTTAATAAATTTAAATAAAATATAAATAAATATTTTAATTATAAAAAAAATTTGATATTCAAATATTATTAATTAACATGTAATAATAATATTAACAATCTTTGAAAAATATGTCAACATTTTTTAAAAATATTTAATTTTTATAATTATATAAATATATAAGCAGTGTAAGTATAATATTAATATTTTGCAGGTGGATACTTAAAATGTCTATGGAATATAGTCTTGAAACTGTATTAACAAATATAGTTCAATCGATAGCTATACCTTTGAGAATTTTGGAAGTTTTTACCACACAAGAAGATAATAAAATAATCATTGGAAACAACTTTAATCTACATTTAAAAAAAATATTTGCTTATTTAGTAAAAAATAAATATTTTGAACAAGTTAAACAATTAATTGAAGCAAAAATTCCACCTAATTTAGATTTATTAACAACTCCACCAACTGCAATGACTAAATGGTTTTTTGAAATGATACAGCGACCTTTAAGTGTTGTCAATCATATAGACAATGCTAATGAATTCTGTTTTTTGATTTTACACGAATTCTGCAGAAGTATTCTGTCTCAAAAATTGACAAATTCAATATCAAATTTTATTATTCCTGCTCTCTTGGAATTTAAAGAATTTCCATATGATAAATTTATTAATTGTATCAATCGTTATAACCCTCAACCTACTATCAGCTTATTATATTCTGTTCTTCTACTAGAACCTCCAGGATATTGTAAGTTAATTTTAATGAAGTTAAAGTTTTCTAATTTATTATATATTTTGTTTTTATTTAATAAATTTAAAAGTAATAAATAAGAAAAATTTGAAGTAAGATTATAAATACGTAAATACATTAGATTTTGTATTTTTAACATTGAAAAAAATGATTTATAAAAATTTAAACCAATAAAAATGATTTAAAGATAAATATTTTAAAAATCTTATAAGAATAAAACATAAAAATTAACGTATATTAATATATAAACTATATGGTTAATATAAACAGGCAAATCAAAAGGTAGTCTTATTAATTATCTACAAGTGCTGGCATCTCTTAGTTCCACCATAAATTCTCCAATTGGCCAAGATAATCTGAATAGCAATGGCTCTGACAGTGACAGTGATTCAGGACCAATGGGTAGTGGTGAAGCAGATATAGTACATCGTTGTATTGAAATGCTAAATGAAGAATACCGTGTGCAAAGTATTCTTATCGCTGTAGATCAGAGCGATGATCTCATAGTCATGCAGCCCATTTGTCAATTGTGCCACAATCTCCTGATAACAAACAAAAACGCCATACATAAATACAAACTCCTATATATGCTTGCTTTTAAACCAACCTTTCTCAGGCAACTATGGAGTAATCTACTGACGGTTAGTCAGACGTCACTTTTCGGTGGTTCTACGCCTTATCTACATATTATCTCGAGAGGAATTGCCCTTTCGGCAGAGGACACCACAAGGATCGTTCCGCTTCTAGCGGTATTTTGCTCACTCTTCAGTCTGCTGATAGCTACATTACATGATACAGAATTTTTCATCGAGCCTTCAGGCATGGAACTTACCATGACGAACAGTATAGATAGAGGGCAGCAAACCATGCCTTTTACAACGTACGACTTAGCTGTACTCAGCTCACATTTGAAAGGAGTTTGTCTTGGATTAGTTGAATTGGCCTTTCCAGATACTAGACCATCAGTCAGAGATGACTATAAGAATGCGGTTTTGGGACCTTCAACTTCAATGTCTTCAACTCCACAAAATACACAAATGTGGGCACACCTTTTTAAGGTACTAATATTGATACATTGATTAATCAATTTTTTAATCAGAAATAATGCTACTACTAAGGTAATTAACGTATAAATTGAATTTTTTATTTATTTTGAAATACACTATGATGTAGATCAAAATAAGTAAAGCTTTTGTTATTTATGAATAAAAGAAGATAACGATTTTGTAAAAATATGTTTTTTTTTATTTTTATTTATTTATTTTGTAGTTTATAGTTTTTGGGTAAAATTTTTATTTTTTATTAAATCGAATTTAAATGTTCTTAAATTAATAATATAATATAAAAATGATATCTTCAAACAAAAATTTTACAAAAACATTTTAATTATGATATAATTGTAAATGTTATTGATATTATACTATATTGTAATAATAAAAATATAGTTTTAGTACTAATAAAACGTAATTATATTATAATAGAATTACAAATATCATTGATAATGAATTACTTTTAAAACAAAATTTTTGTAAATATTTAAATATGAATCAGATAAATGTTTTCGTATTTCTATAAAAATTTGGATGTAATTTATTCTTAAAAAACTATTTTTCAAATTATAAACACCTTGTATTTTTAAATGTAGGAAATTTTATATTCGTAATTGTAAATGTAAAAAATTTGTGATAAAGATTAAGGGTCTCACTATCGATTCCATTTAAAGTCCATCCAGTTAAAAGTTCACATACAGCAATGAAAAAAAGTAAATAAGTTAATTAGTTATATATATTATAAAATATATATTATATATATTATAAAATATATATTATATATATTATAAAATATATATTATATATATTATAAAATATATATTATATATTATATATATTATAAATATATTATAAAATATATATTATATATATTATAAAGTATATATTATATATATTATAAAATAATTATTTTCAATCTTCTTAAATAAACAGTTCGATTCAATTAAACTCAAGTTTATCTTATATGATGCATTATTTAAATTATTGTATATGTGATGTATTCTTGTTGAAGAAACAATAAATAGCTTTTTCTTTTTTTATTATTTTACAATATAAGAAAATTTAAAATGCACGAGCTTTAAATATTTGTGTACACGTTGTTTCGCAAAAGTAAAAAAATCAAAATTATAATAAATTGAAATTAAAAAAAAATATATATTCACGTATAAGGTAACCGTGGGCCTGCTGCGGCAACTACATACACGTGACCTCAGACGTCAGTTTTGCCCGGATGCCCACTGGATAGCTTCAAATATCGTTATTCCAATGAACAAGCCTCAGGACTTCAGTCTTCGTCGACGTCGACTACGCAATTACATTCCATTTCAGGGCCTACGCGTATTTACCCGAGAAGAAATTGAAGATGGGCCACCTCTCTCTACAACTGAATTGCGAACTTTGACATTACTTAGGGAAATTCCCTTCGTTGTGCCATTTAACGATCGTGTAATCGTTTTTCAATCATTGATTAATCGAGACAAATGTGAACAGCAAGGCGAGTTGACGCACTTCATGCAAGGCCCTTCTATTCACATCTCTGTTAGGAGAAACTATTTATATGAGGATGCTTTTGATAAATTATCGCCAGAAAATGAACCCGAGATGCGACTCAAGATGCGAGTACAACTGGTAAATGCAGTTGGGTTAGAAGAAGCAGGAGTAGATGGAGGTGGACTCTTTAGAGAGTTTCTATCCGAATTGTTGAAGACCAGCTTTGATCCAAATAGAGGCTTCTTCAAACTTACTAAAGATAATATGCTCTATCCAAATCCCACTGTTCATCTACTCGTGGATAACTTTCCAAAGCACTACTTTTTTATAGGTAACATTAAATTTTTGTTATCTTTTTGTAATTTTATTTTATATCTTGTTAATTTAATGTTCTTTTAATTCACTATGTACGTATAAAAGGTTTAAATTCATATATATTTAAAATTATCTTTAAACATAATTCATATCATCTATAAATATACTTCATATACTAAACCTTATGAATTAGTTACAAATTTATCTAAATAAAATTTTTTATTTTCTATAATTACCTAAATTGTTTTATTTAAAATTATATTTTGAATTGATATAAAAGATACTTGTAAGAGAATTTGTGAAAATCTTAAAAAATATATCTAAAAATAATTTCTAATACTGTATAAATAAATAAAGAAATTATTTATAAAATAAGACGAACATATTAGAATTGATTTTAATGTTGAAGAATGATTCCTTTGACAGGTAGAATACTCGGTAAAGCTTTGTACGAAAATCTTCTTGCTGAATTACCGTTTGCTGAATTTTTCCTGTCAAAAATCGTTGGCACACAATCCGACGTAGACGTTCATCACTTGGCTTCCTTAGATCCTATTATGTATCGGAATCTACTCTATCTAAAAAGTTACAAAGGAGACGTAACGGATCTCGGCTTAGACTTCACAATTTTATCCGATGAATTAGGTAATTTATAATGGTTTTCTTACAATTATGTTAATTTTATTAACTATATAAGATACAAAATTTTAAAATCGTAATTTTACAATTGCAAGAAATTAAAAATTTGAAGAACTATAAAATTCAAAATAAGTTAAATTATATTTTTATTAAAAGTGAGCTTTTAAGTTTTTATAAAATAACGTATACCTTTTACTTGGAATTTTTGTATATTCTCTAATGTCCATTTTATATTTAAAATGCTATTAAAATTTCAAGTATAATTATTTTGTATTATATTAATGTTGGCAGAGTGTATTTATAAAAGTACATTATAAAATTTCTTTTTTCAATCATTTAGGCGAGAGGCGCGTTGATGAACTTAAACAAGGCGGCGCTAATATAACTGTTACTAATCACAATCGAATAGAATATATACATCTAATGGCTGATTATAAACTTAATAAGCAAATTAGAGCTCAGTGTCACGCGTTTAAACAAGGTATAGGCAATGTTGTATCTCTGGATTGGCTGCAAATGTTCAATAACAAGGAATTACAAGTACTAATTTCGGGGGCACAAATACCTGTAGATGTAGGAGATCTAAAGCAACACACAAATTATACAGGTGGATATGCTCCAGACCATCCAACAATCATTACATTTTGGAAAGTCATTAATGAATTTAATGATCAACAAAAGAGTCAATTGTTAAAATTTGTAACAAGCTGCAGTAGACCTCCTCTTCTTGGATTTAAGGTATCAAATTATTTAATTTAATAATTATACAAACAATATAAAATAATGTACTATACTAAATGCTAAATTCTAAAATACTAAATGCCTTTTTGTAATAAAAGAACATCTACATAAAAAATATTTGTTTTAATCTTTCAATAAAAATAAATATACACATTTAAATGTTAAAATTTCAATTTCATTATAAATATTTTAATTTAATTATGCATTTTAATATCGCGATGATTTAGATTTAATATATATGTAAGATATCTTTTTTAAATATTCTATAATATTTTTAATACAAATAACCTGTAATATATTAGAAATAAATTATTAATAATTCATTGTTTGTTTAGGAACTTGATCCTCCATTTTGTATTCAGCTTGCTGGCAGTGTGGATCGATTACCAACTTCTAGTACATGTATGAATCTACTAAAGCTCCCACAATTTCCAGATGAACAGACATTGAAGGAAAAATTATTATATGCAATTCAATCTGGTGCTGGTTTTGAACTTAGCTAAAAAACTATTACCCATTTGAATTACAAGAGCTTTCAAAATATTTAATTTAGCAAATGTTTTTGTAATTTTAATTAAGTAAATACTTGTTCATATATTTTGAACATCTTTTAGTTTTTAGTTATACAATTTAACATATTTTATTATATCATATATTACTTACATTTTTGTTTATAATTCTTTAGAATATTAATGCAAAAATAAATAAATTTATCATATATTTATTAGTTTAACATCAACTTAATGGGTAATTTAAATTAGACTCACGGTTTAAATATTAAAAATATTTTCTTATTTACATATTTTAAAGAATTACAAAATTATTTATTCTATAATTTTATAATATAATTTAAGAAGAGATTATTTAATTCCATTACAAATAATATGTAATAAAATAAATCTACTTTTATTAAAATATATTCTTAAAATATACATTTATATTTATAGTCGTAAAAAGAATATACAAAAATATTTTCTTCTCAATAGATAATATCGATTATTATATTCTAATTTGGTGATTAAAAATATATTCTTTTGAATTATAAATAATTAAAGGTAACAGTCAGAATAATGATACAGATGAACAAAGACAATTTTGACCTCAATTTTGATTTTATATGCTCTTAAACGAATATAATTTTTACAAGTTATAATTTGAATGTTTTCTAATAAAGTAGGGAAGGTTTCCTAAACTCTAAACACATGTAAATAATTTTTTGTAAAATATTGATGTGCAAATATTTTGATATATAGCTATGTGTATTTGTTTGAAGATAATATAATGATTATTAAGAATAGTATTTCATTGAATATATTTTAAATTTGGAAGTAATTTCCAAAATCGGAAAATGCATTAATAAAGATTATGTTTGTTTTCTTTTGTAAATAAAGTACATATATTAATTGTTTTATATAAAAAATATACAATTTGAATAGGTTACTTTATTTTATTTATGCATGTATATCATGAAATTGATTGAATGTTGATTTAAAATTTAATGAAAATGATGTTAAGTAAACAAAAAATTTTGTGATGTATACATAAATTTGTGAGACCTTTTATTTTAATGTACATAATAAATTTTGAAGACAAAAAAGTATTCACACTATTTGTATTTATTATAAAATTGGTTCAAGAAAGAAAATTGATCATTTTTTTAGTTAATTAATAAAGCTTATGTTTTCTTATTTTAATATATTTCTAAATTAATATACAACTATATTATATATTTTTATATTAGTTTGTATATAAATGTTAATAAGATAATTAGATACTTGGTATTAAAAATAAATAAATATACAAAAATTCAAAATGTAATTTGCAAATAATTGGTGTTCTTATTTATATAGTGACTATGTAAAAAATTTAGTTCATTTCTCAACTTACATTAACTTAGAAAGTAATTTTCAAAATAGTCTACTAAAATAAACAAATTTCTATTAGACTATACTAAATTGATCATAACTTTTACTATATAATAAAGCATAAGTAACCATTACTTATACACAAAATCAAAATTCAAAAATGAAAAATGTCATTTATGATATGAAAAGAAATATTTTTTAAAATAAATATATTTATATATGACTTATATAGAAATGAAAATTAATTCGTTTCAAATATTTATTTTTCAATGTAAAATATAAAAAATAGGATTATTATAAAATAGTTATACTAATGTTATAAACTGTAGTTATTTAATCTCTTGTTATAAATAGAATCTTGATATTAGAATTCAAATGATACCAACATAATTAAAACAAAATATCAGACCATAATTAATTCATATTATAACAATATATATTAAACTTTTGTTTTTAAAATTTAATCTGTCAATAAATTGAAAAATTGATGATAATTATTGAGAAATCCTTACAATCCTTATAATTTATTTTAGGGTTATTCTTAATTCAGAATAACGAAAAATAATGTATTCATATTTATCTCTATAGTTCATCCCAACTAATTTAAAACAAACAATCAAATAAAGGAAACAAAACAATTCAATATCTAGTTTAATCTTATTTATATTAATAATTTTATACTGTGTGATTGACAAATTTTGTTTATTAATTAATATTATAAGATTATTACAAATCATGTAAAAAATACAAAATAATTAAACTAGAAAATAGAACAAAATAGAATAATAATTAAGTTCATTGATAGATTGAATTAAAAACCTTGCAAAGCAGAATTCGCGACTGCTAAATTAAAAATAATTCTAAATAAATACTTGAATAAATAAATAAATGAACGTAATAAGAAAGAGCGATAACAACTTTAAACAACTAAATCATTATATAATTTTAAACAAAGAAACAAATAAAGTACTTCAAAGAGTCTATTTTTAATAATGTCAATAACTGTATAATATTTCACTTTTTTATAAACTTGGTGTTCTTATTATTATTCTTTTCTTGTATTGTTTTTATTACAAATATTATTTTAGAATATGTAATTTACATTATTTTTCTTAAAATTCTATTACGATAAATAATTTTTATATATTTTTAAAATGGTTTGCAGAATATTTTTTATTGTATTAATATATAATATCAATTATTCTTTCGATTCTATCTATTCGAAAAATATAATTATCCACCAATATGATTTATTATTTGGTTTAAATTTTTGGTTAAAATTACATTTAATAACTTTATTTGTACTAGTAAAATAATATGATAAAATGTTATTTTAAGAATTGTAATTTTTAATTAGTCTTTTTAAAATTGAAATTTAATTCATTAAAATTGCTTATATTTAAAGCTATTTGAAATTTCAGATCAAATAATTTATTAAATCATTTATTTAAAGAATTTATCAATTTTAATTTCCGTTATTTTATATTATTTCTATAATTATTTTAATTTTTTCGGTATTTTTATTATTATCATTCGGTATACTTATTTTAATTTTATATTATTATTATATTATTATTTTTTCTAATGCGATAGTCATTTTTTTATATAAAACACATACTTTATTAATTCAATGTGGTAATTTTAATTGAATCTATTGTAATTGTGGTAATTGTGGTAATTTTAACAGAAATTATTACAATATTTTTTATATAAAAATTAATTCACTTTACTATATTTTTTCCTACAAAATTGATCATTATTAATAGGTACATTATTTCTAAAAGAATAAACAAATTTATTATTACAGCTTTTTCTTCTTTTCGGATATATATATATAAGACAGCTCTTTTTAATTTACGTATATGAATTTAAAAATTTCAATTTATAAATAATAGTGATTGTTTATCAGCACCTATGTTTAGTATTTGTATTTTTTATTATACTTCAATATGTTGATGTTTTTAAAAAAGTATAAAAATTAAATAAATTTTCGAGAATAATTTAATATTACTATTCGTATTGCATCGAAAAAGATGAACCCAAAAAATGAATAAAAAATCGATAAAATCATGTGATATTAAAGATAATAAGACTTTAAATGCAATGGTGTGCACTTTTTAATTACGTAAATTGTAATAGAAAATATAATCTCCAGTAAAACATTTAATAAACATGTAATTAGTCATTTTAATACTAATTAATGCTCATGTTGACAAATCATACAATTGTATAAATATTTATAATTAATATAAATATAAATATTATTTTTCTAACAATTGCTTAATTTAATTTGAATCTTATAACCTTACAAAATGATTACGTAATTGGTGATAATACATATTAATGTAATTTTAATTTTTATAAATTTCAGGTTCACATGTTTATTTAACATGTTTATTTATGTATTTATTGTTTAATATTAATTATACATATTAACATGAATAAAATTTGATGAATCTTACTCAGAATCAATTATTATTTAATAGTTATTTTGATATGAATGAAAGATTTAATTTTGAATGATATTTCAAAATATTATATTTATTTATAAGTTATAGTTATTTACCAATTTTTTATCAAGCTATATTTTAGTATAATTTTATTAAGTATAGTATTTATATATCTCGATCAAAATTAATTTAAAACATTAAAAAAATACTGATTAAATAAAGAAATTAATTATGAAGTGGTCAATGATTTCATTGATACTATGTATCTTTGGATTTTTAAAAGAATTTCGTCCTAGTGAATCATTTATTACAAATTATCTATGTGGTTCTTGGAAAAATTTTACACAAGATCAAGTAAATTAAAATTTTTATTAAAATTAAAAAATTAATATAATATTTCATTATCGAATATTAATAAGTTTAATATATTTAAAATATAAAATTGTTACAGATTAATCAAGAAATTTACCCTATTGGAACATATTCTAATTTTGCAACTTTAATATTGGTTTTTTTATTAACAGATTTGATTAGATATAAATTTGTCATTATATTATGTGGTTTTTCTGGAACAATTGCATATGTAATTTTAAGATTTGCAACAACAATAGCTCATGTGCAAATAGTGGAATTTCTTTATGGGTTACTATTATCAACAGAAGTAGCATATTATACTTACATATATGCTAAAGTCAATAAGCAACATTACCAACAAGTAACAAGTCATACTAAAGTTGCTTATCTTCTAGGTCGTTTTACAGCTGGTATAGTTGCACAAGTAACAACATCTTTGGAAATTTTAGATTATGAACAACTAAATTATATAACAATAACATGTAAATTTATTTCAACAATTTTTTTCAAACATTAGTTAAATATTAATTTTGTTGCACTAAATTAAAGTTTTTAAATTATGATTTAAATAATGATAGAATAATATGAATAATATGATATGAATAATGATTGAATCATTTTTTATATACTTACTTAATTTAATCTTAAATAACTTTTGAAAATTAAGTATTTGCAGAATTAATATTTTGCAAATTAATTTTAAAAATTTTCAATTTTCAAATACTTTTTATTATTTAAAATGGAGATCATAAAATTTCATTTATTTAGCTCTTAGTATAGCAACTGTATGGGCTTGTTTATTACCATCAGTTAATCAATCAATGTATTTTCATCGAGTAAATGATTTAAGTACAAAAACAGTAACTTCATTACAAAGTAAAGAGAGGAGTAACTCACTATCTACTTCTTTATGCAAAACTTCAAGTGAAGAAACAGGATCGTTCCTTATTAAAGTCAAGCTTGCTTATTACTTACTTTGGGAAGATTTTGTAAAAGCTTATACTAATACGCATGTCATTAAATGGTCTCTTTGGTGGGCTTTTGCAACTTGTGGCTATTTACAGGTGATAATGTACATACAATTATTATGGGAAAATGCTCTAGAATTACAAAGTAGTAAATATCATGGTATTTACAATGGTTATGTTGAAGCCATATATACACTTATCAGTAAGAACAATTTTTTTTAATAACTAAATTAATATGTTACATTTTAAAATATTTTTATAATTTTATAATAATTAAAAATAGTTCAATTTTTTTATTATAATTTTTAATAAGCAGTACAGTATAAAACTACTATGTATCAATATTTAGAATTTTAAGCTGTATTTACACTTTTCCTTTTAAAATAGATAATAAATTAATAAATTAAAAAATAAATTTGAAAATTTAATTATTTATAATATATTACTGATATATCGCAGATAGTCATTTTAATAATTTTATAAAAAAAAGTGAATGGTTTTGTTATATATAAGAGTTAAAGAAATATTCTAATTCTGATATTCTGTGATTCGTTAAAATAATATTATATTTGAGTATAAAATATTGCTTAATTATTTAAAAAATTCGTTTATTATCATTAAAATGAAAGAGTAATTAATTTATACCAAATAAATATTTTGATAAAGGTGCTTTAGTTGTATTTGTGGTTGGAAATCTACATTTAAATTGGTCATTGGTTGGTGAAGCCATATTATCAATTTTTTCTATAATTGAAGGTATTATTTTACTAATTTCTTATATCAGTTATAATATATGGATTCTATATACTGTATATATAAGTTTTGGAGTTATTTACCATTCAATCATCACAATAGCGAGGTACATAATCATATTCATTTATGTATAAATACTATTATTTTAATATTTTGTATTATGCTTATTCACAGTTTTGAAGTTGTTCAACATTTATCTGAAGACAGTTATGGCTTAATATTTGGTATAAATACATTTTTTGCTTTATCATTGCAATCTGTACTAACATTTATCATAATAAACAAAAGCAGTTTGATTCTAGATATTAGATTCCAAGTAAAATATATTTTACATTAATACTAATTTATTAAGATTAAATATAATTAATCTTTCTATTATATTTTAGTATTTGGTGTATGCAGTGTATTTTATAATTTTGGGCATTATTTTTATGATTATGAGTGTTTTTACACTAAAGCATTACTTTAAAAATAAAAAATCTTTAAAAATTTGGTTAAGAAATACCGAATCTAATATTAAATAAGACAAAAAAAATTATATATTTTTAAATATTATAGTTTTTTATTAATCATATTAGATATACGATTTTTGTGTGTATTTTGATATATTTTATTAAAAGTATAATAAAATAGTTTCTAGTTATTATTTGAATTAGTTATTCAATTTTAATAGGTAGTATATTTTTATGATATATGATCAAATATAACTGATTTAATTTAATGTTTTACTCGGAACATCAAGTTATCCAATGTTGTATATAATAATTAATATTCATTTAAGATTTGTTATTAAAATATATAATAAAATGGCATGAAGAAACAAATCAAAATTTTATTTATTAAGGCATGAAGTCATAGAAACATAATAGTATAATGCTTGTTAGCAGCAATTAAGATTTTTAATTTTTTTCATTGGGTTGAGAAATTTGGATTATTTGTATCTTAGTATTTATTATTGTTATTATTTTTTAATAAAGTTTAGTGAAATATTATTAATATGAATTTTAAGTGTTAATTCTAAATAATTTAAATATTTAATCTAATATTCGAAGAATATTTCGTATGAAACAATTTTTAATAACTTCTCTTATATATTAATGAAATTCATAAACATTTATTATCTTACGTATAGAAAAATATATCATGTGTTCATAATGGAAAACAATATTTTTGAATATTGGAAAGTATTTCATATTACAAAAATTCTAGCTCTCTTCTATTCTATTCTATTCTATTCTATTCTACTCTACATACTGAATAGCAAATAAAGAAAATTAACATAATTGATTTAACAATATACAATAATAATATTGAGCATTTTTAAAAAAGAAAATTTTCGATATTAAATAACGAACAATTATTCGTTTGTATTTACTGTGTAATTATAAACATAACGTAAATATTTGTCATTTATTTTTTATTTTAGTACCGTGTAACATATCTAAAAGATGACCAGTTATAATATTTACAAAAACTGATCTAAATAAATTCTATTAAAAGAATTAATTAATAGTTAATGAATTTAATTTCAATAAATGACAATATTTATTTTTCACATTTGGTTGCTTATTAAAAGGTATTTAAAAATTAGTACATTTCATGGAAAGAAAAGTAATTGATTTGATTTCCACGGATAAGTATAATTTCATATAATATAGTGTATAATTTGTGATAATAGTGATGTTAATCCATAAGTACAGATAAATATTTAATTTTTCCATATTTTAATACAAATATATAAGAAATAATAATAAACACATTTTAAAAACATTTAAGTTGTTATTCAAATATTTCTCCATTTTATTTCAAATATTATTTATTTAGTTTTATTACACATTTGTAAATTTAATTATTTTAAATTATCATATTTTTTTATAAATCCTTTTTTAATTGTATTTTATCAATTGTATAAAATTAAAATATAAAATAAAAAATGAAATATTTTTATCCGATTTAGGAGTTTAAACTTATTTTTTAAGATTTTACTAAATTTATAATAGATTATCATAATTTTTATATAATATATAAATAATGTACCAAGTTAGTAAATAGTTAATTTTATTGATTTCAATTATATACCCATTTTAATATTATAAATATTTAATTTTTTTATCAAATCATTAAAAATCATATTAATAGATATCAAATATTTTTTCTACTTTATAAAAATATAATTATTATTGTAAATTACTATAAATATATTACTATAACTATAATTATTGAAAATAATTATTAAGTTTTATTAATAAAAAATAAAATAACATATATGCATATATTTATATATTTATTTTTTGTTTCCACTGTGAAGATGAATAAATGAAAATAACATTTGCAATGCCATGCAAATACATTTAACTTTTTTTATAATAGGATAGAATAACAATTTTTTACAGTATTTTAATAGACATTTAATAATTTTGTAAGACTATTGAAATTAAAATATTGCTTTTATTAAGTATATTAATATAAAATTAATTAAAATGAATCTATTAATTTTGATATTTTAAATGAATCTTAAGACTAATTTAATTTTTTATATAATTTGCAATTAAATTCAATATGCATGATGATGTTTACAATAAAAAATAAATAATAAAAAATAAAAATCAATTCTAGAAATATATATATTTATATTTGAATATAGAATTGTTAATATGATTAATTTGTGCTACTTTTAAATAAAAACTTATTTCTAATTTTCTTTAATTTATAGTAATTTTACAATATTATGAAGCTGTATCTTATTTTTAAAGTTTTTGTTAGATTAATTTTTCACTATGAAATAATTCTACGAATTATTGAAATTTTCCAAAACCTTAATATAAATCTAATATTTATTTTTATTGTTTTGTCAATTTGTAAATATTTTGCAACTGCTATATTCATTATTAAAACAAGAATGTTTATTTCAATCGAATAATGATAAATGGTTATTCAAATAACTTTTACATTAATAATATGGACTAACATATTAAATAAAATTAACAGATAGGTAAATATTATCCTTTTATTTAAAAAATGTATATTTACATAAATTTTCACACGTGTATTTTATTTATATAAATAACAATTTTAAAAATGCATTCTTATAATTTTAAGAAAATATCTAAGTAAAAATATAAATTACATTGGAAATTCATTAGAAATATAAAGCAATTTTAATAATTGTGTTCATATATATACAGCTATGTATATCGCGCGTGTACTACTCACGCGTACCCATACAGGCATACACACAACATATGACTAGATTCCCGACTATCATTTGAAGAATCAATATAAATTTCATAAATAAAGAATTCTCAGTCATAAATATCAATAAAATCAATAGTTACGGAAATTTAATAATTAAAAACCTATTTTAATTAAGAAGTTCAATAATTTAGTTAATTTATATTCTACAAATCTTAATCTATTATATAAAGTTTTTAAATATATACAAACATAATAAACACTAAAGAAATTCTTTCGATAATAAATCAGTTATTTTTATTGACTGAGAATTATTAATAATTTTTGTTAAGAAATTTAATCTATAATATTTTATAAATAACAAAGAGTAGTGTTACAATACGAAACTTATTATTTATATGTACCGAAATTTATGTCGTATAGGACATTTTTTATTAGAAATACTTATCTGACTCTAATTATATAAAATATTTATTTACAACTTTATGTACACAGTTCTGTATACAAATGTAACAATTATTTTTGACATTTATCAATTTTTCAAAATTTAGTTTAATGTACATAGAATAGACATTATATATCTATAGAATTATTATTATTATTTAAATAAAACAGAAGCTTGGTATACAACATGCATATTTTGTTATTGTATTTGCTTATACTGTAACAAAAAATTTGAAAGATCTTGATATCAAAGTCTATTGAGATGAATATAGCTAGATATCCAAATAGGAAATTTCATTATATATAAATTTTTGCTAATAATAAGTAAAATTGTATAAACATTTAGGTAACGAATTTACTAAGATTGCTATTATTGACAATGCTAGAAAAATCAATGAATTCTAAATGTCAATGGGTGTATCACAAAGTCATTACTAATAAATACAGCTTATACAGCTATGTCCAATTAGAATTTATTGAAGAAAGAAATTAAAATGATAGAGATAATTCATAGAAGATGATTTACAATGCACCAAAGGAGAAAATTTATGAGTATTTTTCTAAATTAATGTTTAAGTTTAAAAATTCTGCTGTTAGATACCATATGAATTGGGAGTGTCTAATGAAATGGAATTTCTTTGAATCATTTCTCGTAAATTGGAACTATGTCATGTATAAGTATAATGCAAACAAATAATTAAATATCTTATTTACTACAAATAGTTAGCATATTTTCCAAATTATTTGTGTAAGATAGAATTTAAACATAGAATAAATAATTTTAATCAATGCTACAATTTTAATATTAAGTTAGGAATAGTAGAGTTCAATATTACTATTAACAAACTGTATAATCGCTGGAGTATTAATATATCTATATATGAATAATAAACCAAATTTCAGTTAATATATTAAAATATATGAATTCTTTGTATTTATATATTAATTTGACCTATAAATGTCTTATGTAATTAAAACTATCTATTAAAAGTACAACTGTAAATAAAGTTATTGATTACTTGTTGATCAATTATAAATTTCATAAACTTAAAAAATCTAAAGTCTATTAATGTAATAAAAACAATTTTTTTCAAATTTTGCTAACTGAACTACTAGATAATTACAATAATTTTATGAAAAAGCTTGAGATTAAATATGCGATTTTATTGGAAGTTTTCATCTTTTATATTAAATTTAAAAAATTGAATAAATTTTATGATTTTTAAAAAATATACAGATTTCCATTTTTTTCTAACCTCAGTTTAAATATAAATTCATTCTGAATAATATAATAACATGATTATCATATATTGCTTTATGTAAAAATGATTGAAACATCTATTTTACAATGAAACATATTACTACTGAAAGATAATATTTGTTAATGTTTATATATACAGGTTTAATATGAGATAATTTAATAAAAAACTTAAGAATATAATAAAAAATAAATAACATTTTATATTACATAAAATTATTATGATTCAATAGTATTGTAGTCATAATAGATGTGGCAACATTTTAAATAATAAATATTAATTTATATACTTGTATTATATGATATTCATATTGAAAGTAAGACCCAAGCTTTTTCTGTTTAAAAAAAATTTCCATATATTTTTAATTATTTCCATTTTTATATGTTTCGGTCTAAAACGGATAAGGTAAAGTTTAATAAAGCTTATATTTAAAACGAATTTCAGTACAATTCTTAAAATAACTGTAAAATCACAAATAGAAAAAGTATCAGTTATTCGAAAAGTTTAAATATTAAAGAATATAAATAGTTGTAAAGATAATATAATATTTATATGTATTGCTCATATTTATCATAATATATGCTCTTTACATTATCCAATTTCTTTTTTCAATAAATATTTTACCCTCAAAAAAGTTAAGTATGCAGAGAGAACAAGGTACCAAAATTATTTAATTATTGAAGTATAATATTACACTTGTATAAATCATATCAATATTTATAAAAGTACCTTTTTAATAGTAGCAATAAATTTTATTTTTGTTGATAATAGGCACTTATATTAAAAAAGTCTTTATTTTGTAAATTTATGATTTAATTAACAAAAAAGCATACTAATTTACAAGTATAATGTTAAGTTTTATATTCAATATGATTATTTTAAGGAACTATCTTATGTTCTACTTTAAAAAAAATTTACTTTTGTACATGCAAATGTCAAGTATTATTTTATATAAATTCTTAATTGTATTTATAGAATAATCTTTTCCTATGGAAAGTAGATACTAAAAAATAAAATTGTGTCACATAAAACACATAATATATGTTCTATAATATTTTCATAGGATATGATTTCAATTAAATTTTCTGTACATAATTCTCTCCTTGTAAGAAATGAAGTAATCAAATTGAGAATCATTGATAAAATAAAAATGTTACGTTTTTGTTATTGTCATTCCAAATAGGAAATAAAAAATATATAGATTTGTTAAATTTCTCATCATAACGGCAAAAGATCGATGAGATTTACGCGTGGTTGTGTTAGTGATTCAGGGAAAAATTCTGATAACTTATCATACAGATCGGTACGACGGGTATGAATTATTTTAACCATAGAGTTGCCTGAAGTCAATCCAAATAAGTCATTTATGTCTTCTTGAGTAGATCCTGATTTAGAACTATTTTGTTCACGAAAAAGAACTGATGCCAATTGTTGAAACTATTAAAAAAAATTATTTAATATATACATATTTATGTTAATTATTTAACATAAATACATGTCAATTATTATAAATAAAAATATTAATACACTTACAATAAAATATCTATAAAATATTCGTAATCTTTCCTTATAATAAAAATAGGTAAATTTATTTATTTTTTGAAAAACTAGTATTTTAAAAAATTTTCTGTTTATTAATTATTTTTTTATACTAATTTTTATTAAGTTTTAATAAATATCTTAAATTTACAATTTTATATTTAATATTAAATTAGATAATTAGATAAATAAATTAATAGATAATTAAATAATACAGCTAATAAAGATAATCGTTAATAGCATTTTATATTAAAAAGTACTAATTCAATAAAATAGATTAGAATATTCATAAATTTTGAAATATTGAAAGTGTTCTTCAAAAGCAAATCGCGTTATTATACTTGAAAATATTCAAATTAATTCTTTAAAAAAAAAATGTTTATTTTAATTTAGATTAGAGTAAGTGTATATATAAAATATTATAAAATTGAATTACCTCTTTGGTTTGTTCAAGATCTTCATGATCAATAATTTCTGAAACTTTTGTTTGCAAGTACTCTAGAGCTTCTATACTATTATTCATGGCAAGTTCTTCAAATTTATGTTTTCTGATGATGAGCTTGCATTTTTTAAGTATTTGGTCATGGGATGGTCTGCATAGTCGCAATTGCCAAAAATCATCAAGTCGAAGTTTTGGAAGACATACTCGTCCTGGGTTGCCACCAAATAAATAATGTACCTAAAATCATAAATTATTTAATAGTTAATATAATCACAAATAACAGATACAAAGTTATTTAAAAAATCTGTTTTTACCTTCTTTATGTGATCATAAACAAGTTGATGAGCAAATCGTGGACATGGTTCATAATTTTGCATCTTACTCCAATATTTTTCTCCTATATTTTCATTTCGATAAATACAAGTCCATTTATTGCTTTTTATATTATAAACCCAGAATGAATTTTGAACATTTTCATCCCGCTTATCCTTATCTTTACTTAAACCCTAGCTCAATAAAATTGTAAATATTAAAAAATATTGTAAATTTTTAAATAGCTTAAAAATTATTTAATAATTACAGATAAAACATAGATCTCTCCAAGTTTTGGATCTATATTTGCACGCTGTGTAAATCCAGCTGCAGGAATATGATTTGAATCTTTACTTCCTAATTCACTTAAGCTAATATATTCCACTTTATTAGTATCTACTTCATATGTAAAAAAATCATTTAAATATTCTTTACCCCTTTGACCAGCAAATATATATAATTTTCTAGATTCCTAAATAAATATATTATAAATTATTTTATAACATACTTGATAGAGTAAAATTAAATTTCATACTTACAGGATGAAATAACATAGAGTGACCTACTCTAGATCTGATACTTAGTACGTTTTGGATACTTGGTCTAGAAACATCACAAGCCAGTTTTTGCCAAGTACCAGTAGGAACATGATAAGAATATAAGCCAGAAAATACAAATTCGTTTGAATTTGTTGTATTTTCTTCTAGACTAAAAAGTATGGAAACTATGTATTGATATTACTTTCTTATATACAAATTTAAATATTTTTAAAAACCTTTTAATGTTTAATAGTTTAATTACTAAAGCATACCAATACTTAGCCCAATAAATTTTTAAATAATATAATCCAAATATTTCATATTTTTTTCATTATATTTATATTAATTATTATAATAGTTATTTATAGAATTTTGAAGATTTAATATGATAAAAATAATTTTTACTTTGTTGTTGGAACAAGTATGCGTCCTCCAAAAACATAAATTGTTCTTTTGTCAATGTCCATCAACATTTGATGATCAAATATAAGATCAGGACCTCCAACTGCAGCTGTATCTTCAGAAATCAATGTCCATTTGTTTGATTCAATATTATATACATAAAAATCGCTTTTCAAATTTTCTGGTGTACGATATTGTGTATCCAAATATCTACCTAACGTAAATAGTTGATGTCTCCCTGGATCTAAGCACATTTTGTGGCATGAACGCGCACTTGGGCCACCCTATAAGTAATGCAAATGATAAATATTGGGATGTACCTAATCAATAGAATTAAATTTAGTCAATTTTATAATTAAAATACAAATACATACAATTGCTGCTGTATTTGAACAAATTAATGACCAAGTTGAAGTATTAATATTGTAAGCCCATAAATCTGCAAGATCTTGATTACCGTTCCAACCACCAAACAGATAAAGAACTTCTGAAATTGAATCTAAAACCATTTGATGACCTCCTCTCATACCAGGTTTTGGATCTGATATTGATAACTTTGTCCATAATACTTCATATGACTGGGCATTTATGTACTCATCTAATAGTCCCACTGAATTAAAATAAATATATAGTTTTTAATTAAATTCTTATTATATTCCATTCTTATTATATAAAATAAAAACAGCAAAAATTATAAACTTTAAAAATATGATTTAATATAACATTAGTAAAATATTTAAAAAATTTATATTAAATATTAATAAATGTCATACTTACTACTAACAGCCCTAGAAATAAATTGTTCAGCTTGCATATGGTCCCCTTTTACAACAAGTATATCATATAATGCTGATAATTGAGAATCTTCTAATGATACTCCTGTCACCCGCTTCAAGGTATCTACTACTTCCTTCTCTTGACACTTTCTGAAGTGTTTCATACACAGTCTTATAATCTCTCTTTGTTGATACTAATAAATTAACACAAAATTTAAACATAAACTTTAATGTTTCAAAAGAATACTATTACTGATTTAAAATTGTTATATTTCATTCAAAATATCATTATCTATCTTAAATAATTCATATTTTTTAATTAAAAGCATTTAATTATATTCATAAAAAACTAGCAATTAAAATATTTTAATTTAAAAATGATAATACAAATAATGCTGTATCAAATTTAATGATTATCAATAATGTAATAAACAAAAAATATTATTTTACCATACTTAACCAATCCATAATTGGCTTAACTAACTTAATATTATCAGTTCCAGTTAATCGAATATGCCAGACTGAACAATACATATTAGGGCCCCACGACTGTAATAATAAAATTTTTACATATCTAATAGGGAAATAATTTTCTTTGCCACCAATACTATAATTAAATTCAAATGTTTCTGATATTGAATCATTTTTTAAACCACTGTAATAAATATTATATATGAAAAATTACATATGCATATAATTATAAAATATTTAATATCTTACCCTTCTACAAGTTTTATCATATTTTCTGGTTCAAGACCTCCATAAACTAAAAATTTTCTAACATTACAGACGTGTGCTTTTTCAAATTTACCAAATGTTATAGTTTTTACTATTGAAGGTTGTTGTAATTTTAGAATTATGAACTGTAATAAAACGTATTGTATTTTTAAAGATTATAAATAAAAAAATATAATATTTTCCAATTTAATATATGAATAATTTACCTGAGGATGACTATCATTATCAGTTGACCAACGAGACATTTGATCAAATGGTTTATCAATAATGATATTTCTATATAAACGAAATTGGTATAAATAACTAAAATTATTCGACAACAAAAATAATAAAAGAGATTCAATATTGTAGTTAATATATTTTTAAAAATATTTCATGAAACATAAGGTAAAACAATTGTTATTTTGCTTGGTTATTAAATTATAAAACCAATCTAAAATGTAAATTTATACTAACAGGACGAATTTACTTAAAAAAAATTATTATTGTGAAGATTATAAAATACTTACTCAGGCACAAAAGTTGATGAATAACTTGAACATTTAAAAATTCTATATTCTAAATATTTTTCAAAATCACTTTTCTCATTTGACACCATGTTAATACCATCCATATTGGAATGAGATAACCTTAATTTTATAAGATACCTGATCGACCATTTTCCGGTTAGCCTGTTAGTAAATTACTTAGTTTTAACAAAAAATATATAATTTAATCTATTGTTTAATATTAATTACTATAATTAATATAATTATAATTACAATTATAATTACAATTATAATTACAATTATTAATATAATTACATCGATTTCAAAAAAACGGGAGACAGTTTCAATTTAAACTAATATTTTTCAAAATCTTTAATTATTATTTATAAATTACTACAAATTTAATAAATATTGAATTATTATTTAATAAATAAATATTTAATAAATGAAAAAATTCTAACTAATATGGATTATCTTTAATTTTAATATGGATTACAATTTAAACACTTTTTAAATATTATTGCTACATTTACATTCAATTATAAAACTTATATACGAAATAATATATTGTTTTATAACTAAAAAAATTTAAATTAGTTTAAATTTTACAAAAAAAACTTTGTAAAACTGAAAAAAATTTATTATTTACAAAAATTTAATTTTATATCCTGATTATATTGTTTAAAATTAATGTTTAGCAAAACAATTGGTTAGAAACTAAATAATCAGTCCAAGCAAACATTTTTTTAATTTTAGATTAACTAAATATTAAGAAATTTTATTACAAAATACATATATTTAAAAGTAAGTTAATAAATATTGTATTTAGCAAATATTTATTTAAGACAATAAATCTATATAATATGGACTACAAACTTTTTATATTATCAGAATTTACTATTTTTAATTTAAAACATTAAATTTTGTTATATGTACAAATTAATTATGTATTAATAAATTTGATAGTGAACGGAATTTATAGTTTTATTCAATCGAAATAAATGTTATTCGATTCAAAAATAATAAAAGACATAGATATTTATAAAAATATGAAAATATGTACTGCAATAATGATTACGTATAATTATTATTATATTTATACATTTATTTAGAAAAATATTTTTACGAAGGTGTATAAAAATATTACTAATTATTTAAGAAGTCTGAAAAATTTAGTATAATTACGTTATATGAACTGAATAAAATTTATCCTTATATTTTTTATTAATAACATTTTATAATCTATTTTTGAATATAAAAATATCTATTAAAATTTCAAAATAAGTTATATTTATTGCATTTTTATTAAATATTAAAGTTTTACAGATAAAATATTATATGTATATAAACGAAATAATTTTAATATTATTATTTCTTAAAATTAGTAATATAATTATAAATTAATTTATTCCGAGCTGCCTATATCAAATTAAGTATACCAAGAATAATTTGGTTAAGCAAAAATAAAATTTTTATTATTATCTCCTTAAGTTTTATTTCCATTAATAACCGGAATAGAAATTGTAAAGATAAAAATTTCCACTGAATGTACACGTTACCAAGTTTGTGAATCATTTTTAATAATATTTAGGGACTGTTGCATAAGTAGTTACGAGATTTCTGTAGCAGATAAACATTATAACATATTATAGTAGTTTTAACAATTGTATTTGACTATTACAACAATTAAAATTGACTTTTGACCATCTTTTTATAAAAAAATTTTTTTTTCTTTTAAATTTTAAATATTATATATGAAACATTTATTTTGCAAAGTTTAAAAATTTTCACCGGATTGATATACCAATACCTTTTACACTATTATTTTTTGAACATATAAGACATTTTGCCTTGTTTATTATGATTTTGAAGTCGTATTTAATTTGAATGAACTATATTATAATATACTTGTATATGAAAATATAATTTGTTTAATTTTTCATACAAAATAAATATTTTAAGATTATAATTGAATATATTGAATTATACGACAAAAAAAAAGAAAATGATCAATGTATTAACAAATATTAAATATTTAATAAATGTATATTCAGTTTATACCATGTATGCAAGTTTATACCTATATAAATACATATATATAAATTATAATAAAATTGAATTTTATAAAAATATTAAAAACAGAATTTAATTTTATCGACATTTAAATTAAATATTTAATAAGTTTTATCAATAATAATTCGATCTTATTTTATTTAATTTTTTTAATATAGAAATTTCTTAATTTATTTTTATATAATATTAAATGCAGCATTTACGTTTGGATGGTATTTTTTTCGCTTTACTTTAATTTAAAAAAATCTGTATAATAAATTTAACAATAAGTTAATAAGTTTCTAATAAGTTAATTAGATGAATTATTAATATCAATATTTACTATTTTGTGAGCATACGTTGCATATTAATGTAAAACCAAATTAATAAAAAAATAAACAAACAGATATTGAAAAATGTTCGATTTCAGAAATATTACAGATTCTGTGGGCTTGATCATACAGACGAGACATTTATTATATTTCTCATTGTCATATCTGTGATTATACATATTTATTGCATATAAATGATATTCTATACTTTTTTCATAGTTAAAGGTATTATCTATGTAAATAGGGATATACACAAAATATGATATATAAACTTGTTAAGCTACATTAAATTTATTTATAATAATTGAATCGAGTATTTGTTTAGTTAGAATCTAAAACGCCTTTTCAAAGGATTTAAAAAAAATAAACGTCAAGTTAAATTTTTAATAAACTCTTTTTTTAAAAAATGGTAACCAGAGTGGAAGAGGAGAGTTAAGTGAATAAACGAGGGAGTGAGTAGAATATATATTAGTGGAATATATATATATATATATACGATAGAGAGCGATAATAGTGAATGACGAGTACGATTTCACTGATTTAGCATATAACGTTTGTTGGTAATGACGTCAAGCGAACGAACCTTCGTAGATGAAGAATAATAGTTGCGCGCGCAGACCTTCTTATCAGACGCATATGTTGTTGTTTCTTGGCTCGTCAATTGCTGGCACAGTGCTGTCACTCACATACGCTTTGGCGATTGTTACTTAGTGTAGGTGGTCGTCGAAGAGGGATCAAGCAAAGATGGATGGCGTGTAAATGGAAGATGGGTGGGAGGCCCCGGCCCCGTCCGTCTCTCTCATTCGTGTACGAGTGTGATTGCGATACGCCGATGAGCGGGTAGAGTGCGCGTTGCTGCCGTGTCGTGATCGTCGTCGATATCAACGGTGGCAGTCTATTGTCCGTGGTGCTCGTTTATCGGTGTTTCAATATGGCGTGCGTACTGTCTGTGCCATTAGCATGCAGGTGAGCTGAATTGTTTTTATCCCTTAGGTTTCTCTCGAGAATATGTCTTTTCGGTCTCTAACATGCAACGCGTATTTCGAATTCCTTGGCAATTGAGTTGCACGATTTATATGATTTACGTTAAAAATTAAGAATTCGAGATGTCTTTGGCGTTGACGCAGCCGAAATATGTCAATGAGATGGCGCATATAACCTGGTAAAGATAGATAGATACTGGGACAGGGAGGGAGGAGAAAGAGAGAATGGCTACTGCTACGTGCAAGATATTGTAGGCACAATTGAAGCTGTTTTTATGGTATTATCGAGTAGGCGGGAAGAAATAGGAATAGTGCATTATCATGTAACTTATCTGAAATTTAAATCACTCGGGTTTTATTATCTGTGTATTGAGAATGTTTTTTCATCCTACGATGTTTTGTTTTTTTCTTTGCACCTGTAACGTGGATGGGTATTTTCGTAACGCACGCACGATGTCAATGATGGAGCTTGCTCTACAAAAGTATGGTGCGTAACTTTTTATGTGAGCTGCATTTTTGACACAAACAAAAATAAAATAAGATTATTTTTATGCTCTTACAGTGTATAATAATACAAAAGGGCGGTATTTTATTTGCGAAATGACTGATGCAGTAATGTTAGTTTATCATTAACATAAGTTTACGAATTATATTAATTAAAATAGTAATTTATCTTATAAAGAGATGTTACACTATTTAAAATGGACTAATATTTAATTTCTTTTACTTTGAAGAAAATTAAGCAAGTTTACTTTCTTAACATTACCTTTTATTTATTAATAATGTCAAAATAAAATTATTATAAGGGTTTGTAAATTCATTTTAGTTTTTGAAAATGGTTTATTTTGTAATTGTTTTATTTTATTATATATTAACTTCGTAATCAGTTAGTATTAATTTAGTTATTTCATGAAATATTAGTATGTAACAAATATCTTTTCATTTGAATATATAATGATTTACTTCAAAGATAATATTACAATTTTTTAAGACATTAACTATATATCATAACTCTCATGGTATAAAAAAGTAGAAAAAAAATATGAACTAAAATTATTTAAAAATAAATTTACACATTATTCAATTAGTCAAGTTTGTATATTTCAAAATTTATGAATGTAAGTAATATATATAAGTAAGATAAACAATTAAATATATGAAGAGCAAAATTTAAAGAATTTCAATTTGAAACGTGGAATAAAACCTGTGTGTTTAAACTTTATATTATATATATTGTATTATAATTATACATGTGCTTGGTTTCTTGATAACTAATTTAACATGGCAAGATAAATATGTTTTTGAAAATAAAATAGATTATCATGTAATAAAAACTATATCTAAGTAACATTTAAATGGAATGCTTTGTGAAGTTATGTAATTAATTTTTTTATGTATGTTTCTATTAGAAAAAGATGTTTTTATTGTTATATTTATAATTTTCAAGCATAATGTAATTTCATTTTTAAAATGAAATTTAAACTTTATAATAATATTTATATATTACATACCATCTTTTGTTTAATAATCTTGATTTTATACTCCAACATTGGAAAAGAAAAAAACAATGAGTACAATAAGTAACAATATAAGTACCTTCTGTATATATTATAATTTATATATGTTATTTAAATAACATAAAAATTTACTGATTTTTTTTTATTGAGATTTCAATTTCTTTATCATATTATTTTATATTAATATTTAATTTAAAAATATGTGTCAATACTGTAAATGTTTATTAATTTTAAACTATAATTAAAATTTTGTCAATAATTATTTGTTTTTCTAAATTAAAAGATTGATATTATTTTATCACTTATTTTCAACATACTAATAGTTTCAAGAGATGTGTGTGGCTGAGTGTGCGTGTGTAAATTAAAATTCAATTATATTGTCATTTTGCTGTTTATTATATGATCAAATATTATATTTTCCATATTAATATTTATATTTTTTTTATTTTCTATATTTGCAAAAATAAAATATAATTTAAAATATATCAACAGCATAATAAGTTGAATTTGACAGTATTTAGAGGAATATAATATTTATTCGGGAATATTTGTAATTAAGGGTAAAGTATATTAAATAATTGGATATGGTACTAAAAGTTTGTACATGAAGATTGTTCATAACAAGTAAGTATATATAAAATAATCAAACAATTCATGGAATTTAAAAAATTAAAAATTAGGTTAATAATATATATTTTCAATATATGTTTTAAAAGCAATTTGTATTATTGTTTTATTTATAAAAGATAAAAAGTAAATACTTTTGATTACAGATTTTAATTGTTTATATATGCCTATTATAGATTTTTACGAATGCTCAAATGTTTTCATTTACTTACATGCTAAATTCCATATTTTTATATTATATATTTCAACGTACTTCATATTTTATGTATAAATAATTCAAGTAACATAAAAGCATAAACTTTTTTTCAAATATATTAATACATACTGATCAATGTGTACAATAATTAAGCAATTTATCTTCTTTCTAATATAGTAAATTAATTCTATCTTTAATAAGTGAATATTTAGTTGACTACGTACTAATTTATTACTTGATGAATTGTAAAACAACTATACAACAAATATTATTGAACTTGAAAATAATTAACGAAAAGAATGCCTTGTAAGTAAGCTATTAAAAAATTTAAATTCTTTGAAGCAAATTTTCGTGTTTAATTGCTTGAAATTCTGCAACGTGACGATTTATTAAACGAATTGTGGAGGATTATAAAGTGTATGGTAGAAGTACTAATTAGGAAACTTAATTTTACATTCCATTAGGTAAAAATTAAATAAAACTTTATGTAATATATTTTTACATTCTAATTTCAAACTTTAATGCGGTATGTAAAATACTACGAATATTCAATTCATTATTTATTTATTTCAATTTATTTTCATTTGTTTTAATTATGATTATTCTATATATCTATATATTCTTTTATATTTTTTAATGCAGTTTCAAATAAATTAATTGAAATATTTAAACCAAGGGGAATGGAGTACCTGTTTTATAAGTTGTGTACAGCTCAATCACCTGTCAAACTGTAAAAAATATAACGATATAATGTTTACGAGTTGAACTATTAAAATGAATAATATAATAATGTTACAATTACATTGCAAAACTTATTAATTAGATGCAAATGCGATTACAATAAACATTAAAATTTATCAAATGTACTATTTATAAAAATATCTTATAAGGATATATAATATATCTTATAATATGTTCTCGTCTTAAGTCATATTGAAATATATATATATTCTTTGATTTTTTTATTTTATTCACAATAAATATATTTTTAAATGCTAATTTATCATTTATATCATTGATTTATAAAAATTAATTTAATTGTTTATCAATAATAAAACAGTACAAATTATAAAAGTAAAAGAAATAATTTTCTAACAATATTTGTAAGTTTAAAAATATTTGTAATAACTATATGTAAATACATAACTTCAATTGTATATCGAATTTTATTAATTATATTTATAAACAATAAGTTATGTGAATAATTAATATTATAATTATGTTATGTCTTGAGCTGTAATTGATCATTTTTTCCTTAATGAGGAAATATTTGGATATCATTTTCATGATAGTTTTAAAAAAACTCGATTGCAATTATATTTATATTTATATTGAATGAAATATTTTATTATATAAATTTTTTTTCAGTAAAATATTAAAATAAATTCATCCATATGTAACAAAAGTAATATTAATAACACTAGTAATGAAAATATTTATTAAATATTGTATAGGTGAACAGTGATTAAAGTTTATAATGGTATACTTTTATGTCGAAAAGAAAATTTTATTTATGTTTTTGTTTATAATAGATATTCTTCATACATTGTAATGAAAAATAATTTTTTATATATCACGTTACTTAAAGAATATATTTACATATAAATTGTATTATATATATAGCAAAACAAATTTTAATATTATATAAAAAATTTGATAAAATAAAAATTTTGCATTTAAAATTCTTTTAAATGGTATAGATCTTTAAATCTGTTATATACTTTGAGATTTAAAGATTTTCGTAAGACACTTAAAATTGTAACAATAATTAATGAATTAAAAATGGTATAAATATTTATATAAATATTACATTTCTTGATTTGGTAATTTATTTGTAGCTTTGGAATTTCATATACAGATTATTTTATTTTTCTAATACTGAAAAGAGTTTTAAAAAATGTTTAAAAGTTATATATATATATATATATATATTACAATAAAATCTTGCACGTTACAATTTATTCAAACGATGAGGTATAAGAATTTAAATTATAATCAGTTGCTTTTTATAAATTTGAACTTATTTCGTATCTAATTTAGAGAATATAAATAAGTTTTTTATAAAAATTTTAACTATAAAATTAAATAAAAATAAATACGATTTTTGAACATATAAATAAAACGTTCAAATAAATTCTCTTTATTTTAATAGAATTTTTTAAAATATTTCAATTATATAGTATATATTTATAACAATTCAATTATAATAAACAAAATATTGTCCTTTAAAATATATGTAGATTAATCAAAAGAAGGTTTTCTTCTTGAGTAATTTACAATAATATCAATGAATAATTTATCGTTATAATATATTTTTTATTAAAGTTTAAGAAGTTTAGTTAATAGTTGTTATTCTAAATTTATATAAGTATAATATAGTGATTAAGTAACATACTTTTACGTGGTTAAACAAGTTTTTTATCGATAATTTGCATTTTTATGTAATGGAAAGATTATAAAATATAAATTCTTTTTTAATTAAAATTATTTACAAATATTATATTACTTTTTGATTAATTTATTTCACTAATAAAAATGTTTTAGGTTAATATTTTAAAAGTATATAAATGGTTTCAAATTTTTGGTATTTGTTTATTTCTATTATATATTTGTGTTTCAGTAAGATACAATTTTTTAAATATA